TGTTCATATCTGAGCAGTCTTGTGTATTCTCGTAAATATCTGACCCTAGGGCTCTCTTTGTGTGAGAGCATGTTACAACTTGCTGAAAGAAGACTTGTATCTGTGTTATTTTCCTATGCCTGGAGGAAGAGGGACTTGGCAAACAACTCCTCCTTTCTATAAGTCTTCAGCTCTTTTGCATCAAAGTGTGGGGGCATTCACACAAATGTAAACCAACACAGCTCCTTCAAATCCTCAAATCACATTGGTGTGACTGTGCTGCTGCAAAGATACACCCTACACCCACCCTCCCCCCACTGCTTCTTGCCTGAATCAGCCCCCATCATCACCTGCTGACACACACACACACACACAAGACACACACACACACACACACACACACACACACACACACACACACACACACACACACACACACACACACACACACACACACACACACACACACACACACACACACACACACACATACAATCACACAGACAGAAAGCACACAGATAACACACACACCATCTTCCTCGTCTTCCATGTGAGAAGTAGCGTGATGTTTGCCTCTGCAGCAGGAGCTGAGGCACATATCTGGCATCCCCCCCTCCCCCCCGCTCCTCCTCAGAGGCTATATAAGTTATTTATAAGCATTTTGATAGTTTTCTTCCTCTCTCTATCATCCGAGGTGAATGCTGTCATGTCGGATTACTCAAAGAGCCATGCAGCATCTCTCCTGTGCTGTTCACTGAAGGCACCGGCACACTGTTCAGACCCACATAGGTTTAGTTCTGAATTATTAATCGCATTCATGTCATTAACCAGCGCACACAGCCTCCCCAGCCAAGGACCCCTAGCTTGACATGGAAATAGAACGGCAAATTAGATTCTCAGCAGATGTAGCTCAAACACTGCTGTACGGCAAAAAACATGAATTAATGAATGAATTACAAACAAATACAACTTGTTAGAAACACCATATGAACACATGCAGAGCTCAGGGTCTTAAAGGGACAGTTCACCCCAATTGCATATTTTGCTCTTACCTATTGCGCTTTTTATCATTATGGGTAGTTACTGTATTTGTGTTGTCGAATGTTGGAGATGTCTGTTGTACCGAACTCGTCCTCATCACCACGCAGAAGTAGGCATTATAAGAGGCTCATGTTCACTCTGAGTGGGTATTGATACGTAGAAAGAAAATAGTTCCTACCGTACATGAAACTGCTCACAACTTGGGTCTAGGGGTATCTTGGTCATGATTAATGTACAAAATAAGCTGTTGTTGATTGTTTGAAATATATTTTAGCTTTGAACACCACAAGCAGATTGCCATCTAGTTACATGACCTTCAACAAAAGACATAGATATCTAGGAAACGTATTTGATAGGGAATATCAAAGCTTTGAACATGTGGTTAATGTTGGGAATTGAAAAACAGAACAACAGAATACAACTCGTTGGTAAGGGTTTGTTAAAATCATGGTTTGGCTTAAAATAACTGTATTTGTGGGTTATTCAAGTTGCAGTTGTAACATAAAAGAAGTTATGATGTGGTTATTGGTAACAAACAGAGCAATCCATCCTCCCTATGCAGACTTTGATAATGGTCATAGAAAAAAAAAGGTTTACCTGGAACGAAATACACTTGTGGAACATATTTCTTTACGGAAACAAGGCCAAGAAGATAAATTGTTTCAAAAGGATGACATGATGTGCAGCTCTAAAACTGATGCACCTAGAGAAAGTTCCTTCTTAGTCTTTGCTTAGCAGAAGATTAGAAAAACATCCATGACTCTAAAATTACAGTCATGGATGATCCTGTTGCTGCGGTCCTGTGTCCTGGATCGTGAGCCCTGGATCTTGAGTCGTGGCTGTGCCTGTTGCTGTGGTCCTGGATCATAAGTCCTGGATGGATATCCTCGTGGATTCATCTTCCTATTATACACACATGCATTTCCAAACATTTGGACTACCTATATTGCAAATGTATTATCTCTTCGATTTACACAGCGCATCTATTGCACGTCTGTCCGTCCTGGGAGAGGGATCCCTCCTCTGTTGCTCTCCCTGAGGTTTCTCCCATTTTTCCCTTTAAACTGTGGGTTTTCTCTGGAAGTTTTTCAAAAACTTCCAGAGAAAACCCACAGTTTAAAGGGAAAAATGGGAGAAACCTCAGGGAGAGCAACAGAGGAGGGATCCCTCTCCCAGGACGGACAGACGTNAGAGGCCGACTACAAAAGGTAGACTCAATGGCTCTTGATGACATCAAGGAGCAGTCCCAATAGATGCTGTTGTATAAAAAGAAATAGGTCCAGATTTCTTCTATTTTGTGTTGGAGGATTTGTTTTATTGATTGCTGATGGATGTTAAGATGTGTTTTACAATTATTACAAAAAGATTATTGTAATCAATAAAAAAGATTGCAAATCATAGTTTTAATAAAATCACTAGCAATATAGGGTTTATTCAACAGCAGTAAAGCATTAATTGGCTAAATTAACTTACACTGAACTGTAAAACAACTTACCACTATTTAGGAAAGGATCAGAATCAGAAGGATTGACTAGTAGGACAGCGAAGAGGTGGAGAAGGTCTCTGTCATGTACAACCATTGGTAGATGTCACACCTGAAAGAAAGGTAAGGAAATAAGACAACACAGGAAGACAAACATTTTCTTAAGTAAAAGTCAAAATCATGTCAAGCTTTAACCTGAGCCTGTTTTTTCAGTCTTTACAATGCACTGTTGGAAATTACATTCCAAAGGCTAAATTCAAACTCAATACCATAAATAACTGGGTACCAAAGTGCTTTACCTGATAGAACACGTTCCACACGGAGCAGCAACCATCCGGCTGGGCCTTTTGCTGCATATCGCTGCATATCACTTTCTCTCTCTCTCTTTCTCTCTCTCTCTCTNCTGGACCCTATGACTCTGTTCCACATGTCTTCAGTCAGTCCTGGACCCTATGACTCTGTTCAACATGTCTCCAGTCAGTTCTGGACCCTATGACTCTGTTCCACATGTCTTCAGTCAGTTCTGGACCCTATGACTCTGTTCCACATGTCTCCAGTCAGTCCTGGACCCTATGAATCTGTTCCACATATCTTCAGTCAGTCCTGGACCCCATGACTCTGTTCCACATGTCTTCAGTCAGTTCTGGACCCTATGACTCTGTTCCACATGTCTTCAGTCAGTCCTGGACCCCATGACTCTGTTCCACATGTCTTCAGTCAGTCCTGGACCCCATGACTCTGTTCCACATGTCTTCAGTCAGTCCTGGACCCTATGACTCTGTTCCACATGTCTTCAGTCAGTTCTTGACCCTATGACTCTGTTCCACATGTCTTCAGTCAGTCCTGGACCCTATGACTCTGTTCCACATGTCTTCAGTCAGTTCTTGACCCTATGACTCTGTTCCACATGTCGTCAGTCAGTCCTGGACCCTATGACTCTGTTCCACATGTCTTCAGTCAGTTCTGGACCCTATTACTCGGTCACTAGTTCTACCAAGGCTCATTAGAGGTAAGAGTGGTAGGAGAGGAGTGGATTTATCTTTGTATTTAGGCTGCAAGTCGACAAAGGTGATCAAGTGCTGATGCTAATAATGATCCGATTCATTTGATGTTGATTGTCTGCCAATACAGAATCCTGATCCGATTCTTCTATTTCCCAGATAATACAGCTGCATCCTGTACACTAAATCTATTTGTTTTTGCCATTGTAATTCACCATAAGCAATTGTTGACTGTAACGTCTATGCCAACCGACTGTTATTTGTAATGTATTTTACCATACTTTAACGGTTCTGGCAACCACAGCAGACCAAATGTTAACGTAAATGTCAAGTTTTCTTTTTACAGTGTACTTATATCTGTACATTTCTTTTTAGTTTGCTTCAAGAAGTGGCTTAACAGACAGAGTGCAGGCCAGATTGGGAAAGGCTGGAAGCTACACAACGGGAAACATTATGGACATGAACAAGGAAAAACAAAAAGCACTTTCTTTGTTGCCTTTTTCTTTTATCATATATAGTGTTACTGTTTTTGTTACCATTTAAATATTGAATTATATTTATTACTTTTATTTTAAATCAAATGCACCGGTTTTAGATAATATATTTATTTTGATGTGTAGGTTGATTTGCAGGTTGGTTGTTATTGGTATTGTTACTGTGTATTTCATTATATTAAGTAGCTATTTATTAAATGTAAATACTGTTAGGAACACTATACAATGTCTTTATTTTGGTAGGTACCAGAATACATGACACAATGAATCTTTATCTCTTTATGTTCTCTAGTTTAAATAATCATAACAGTATTTAATGTATGCTGGTCACCTGGAATCCTGGTAAGCTTCCAGCATGGTATATTTAATACTATTATTAAACATAAACTGGTGATAGATGGATTCTGGTGACCAGCCCAGCATAGACCAGCATACTATGCTGTTATGCTGGTCTATGCTGTATTTTTTAGCTTACCAGGATGGCTGGTTTAGCTGATGGCTGGTTTGGCTGGTTTAGCTGGCCATCCTGGCCAATTAAAGTGTGCAAAACCCCTCTAAACCAGCCAGGCTGGTCAACTTAGGTCAGACTGGTTGACCAGCTAAATTGGTCTAAGCTGGTTTTTCCAGCAGGGTTACTCGACATTGAGAAACGGCCTAAATCTCTCTGGCAAAAAAAGGCCCCCATATAGCTCAGTTTATAACTCGAATCCTGGTTTTTCTGCAATAACTGAAATAAAGTGCTTTATTTATGAACCTCAACCCTCTGGGGAATCTGAAGGCAAAGCACTTCCGGTTTGTAATTCTTCTATAAAATGATTAGTTGATTTACTAAATAAACAGTGTTGTATAAACACACAATGCAGTCCTCTCTATATCTGTACGCTAAAAGCATAAATAGGAACAAGTACATTTGACATTTTCCAACCATTTTCTCTATGCACGTGCGGTTATTCAAAAGGCTTCTATTTTGAAAGTACAGAACACGATACCGGAAGTGATTGAGTTGTTTCTGTTTGTAGCATTTGGGCAACATTTCTTATGACCTTACCTCCATAACTTTATTTAACAGCAGCTACATCTGTGTGTTAGTGTTACAGGAACAATGCACCTAATATATCGACGTTTATAAATGTAAAGTTAGCAGCGCATTTAGCTGTAAACAGATGATTCATAACACAAGTTCATGTTAGCATCAGGGTCTAGTTAGAACACATCATGGAGAGGAGGAGCTAGCTGGTCTTAACTCAGTGGTAATGTAACAACTTAATTTACATTAACAAGCAGATTCATGTTATACTATAGTTGAAGTTGTCCATTTTAATATGTCTGCCCTGTATCGAAGCGTTGTGTTCAACCGTGTTTCCAAGTTAAACACATGTTTGATACAAGTCATGAGATTTGGGTATAATGCGCCTCCTCCACAGTGGAAGACACCCGACAGCCTCCAGAGAGCTGGAAACACAAGCAGATCACAGGACACAACTAACCCCAAAGCTATGGCTAATATTTCTAGAAAGCTCAGTGTTTCTTGTTCAAGGTGTCTCTCTACTTCACCTGAGAGTGGAGCTAATCGAGTGAAAAGAGTTTCTATCGAGGGCAACATTGGTAAGATCAGTATATGTACTGCATTTCAATATAAAACGATTATTTTGCCAAGCTATGAGTGTTGTCAAGACGTTCAGAGATCTTTTATTTAGGTAAAAGTACTAAAACCACCGTGTAGAAGAAGTTCTCTGTTTCAAGGTTCTGCTTTTTTACAAAAGGTATTAGCAAGCATCAAAATATACTCAAGAGGACAAACCGTTTAAATCTTTATTATAGCCTACAGACTGGCCAACTTCAGAATAATACATATATAAAGCTTATTTGTGGACTTTGAGACTGCTGGGCATCTTAACACATAATGAAATATCATACTCTGAGTTGATTTTACGTCAAATTAATCATCTTAATCTACAAAGTAACTAAGGTTGTATATGTATTATATGTAGTGTAGTAAACAGTCTAGAGATGTAATAGGCATAAGTATAAAGCAGGATAAAATGGAAATACTTGGATAGAGTACAAGTACCTCAAACTTGTACTTAAATACAGTACTTAAGCAAATGTACTTTATTACTTTCCCCCCCACTATTGTTGGTTATATACGATCTCCTGTATTTTTTCTTGTCAAATAACAGCTGTTGGAAAGTCCACCTTTGCAAGACTCTTGCAGTCGGCCTGTCCGGACTGGGAGGTTGTGGCAGAACCCGTCAGCAAGTGGCAGAACATTGAGAGTGGTGCATCGAAGGTGTGTGCACATTGACTGACCTTACTCTATATTTTCACAACTTAAATCAAAAGAGGCTAAATCTGACCATCTGTGCTCATGTCTCTCACAGGGGACAGACGCCTCCCCCCAGACCACAGTCAGCAACTTGCTGCAGATGATGTACCAGGACCCTGAGCGCTGGTCCTACACCTTTCAGACGTTTTCCTGTATGACCCGGCTGAGGACGCAGCTGCAGCCTCCTCCTGCTCGCCTGCTGCGCTCAGAGGGAGTGCCGGTCCAGGTGTACGAGCGCTCCGTCTACAGTGACAGGTGAGGCAAGGCCGGACAGGAGAGGGAAACTGAAATTAGATATGTCATTCTCTGTGGCCGACTACAGATGTAAATTAGCTTATAGCTTATAGCTGGCACGACTGAATCGCTGTATCCTGTCCCTGTGGAGTAAATCAAATAATGAATTTCAGGGGAATTGATACTTTGAGAAACCCCATAATTGTCCGACATGGGTGATAAGCTGTTAATGTGTTCTTTACCAAAGCTTTTTAACACAATCACAATACCACAATTATACCACGATCAATACATTCACACATTGTCGCTATATTATAGTTGTTGTTAATTTAGTGGGAACGCTGATACAGCTTTTTCTTTGACGCACAAAATTCTTTATTATTCCGCCGGGTTATTTTGCACCTCTTCTTCTCCCACATTTCGCATCGCAGAAACTCCGTTCGAACATCAAAACGTTCAGCTCGGTCAGGAATCGATGGCTATTACTTTTATCATTCATAACTTTCATAATTCCAGAGATACATCCCATAATTCATCAAAAATGTTACACACTTTCTGACATTATTCGTGTAACACAACTTTTAAATCTGATTCGTACTTTTAGAGATATTAAACATTGTTCAGACCTTGGTAAAGAGGCCTTCTTCAGATTTTAGAGTGTGTGATGTCACAGGAGGACAGATTTAATTTTGCTTTCATATTTTCTTTCAAA